ATATATGTTCATTTATTATCATAGGAACAGGTGTTAACTGTTCTCTATAAATGTTTGGTGAATTCACCTGTGAAGCCATCTGGTCCTGGACATTTTTTGTTGGTAGTTTTTTAAAATATTATTACTGATTCAATATCATTACTGGCAATTGGTCTGTTCATGTTTTCTGTTTCTTCCTGGTTCAGTCTTAGGAGACTGCACATTTCTAGGAATTTGTACATTTCTTCCACATTGCCCATTTTACTGGCATATAGTTTGAAGTAATCTTATGATCCTTTGAATTTCTGTGGTGTTGGTTGTAGCTTCTTTTCCATTTCTGATTTTATTGATTTGGGTTCTCTCTTTTTCTTGATGAGTCTAGCTAAAGGTTTATCAATTTTCTTTATCTTTCTCAAAGAACTACCTCTTTTTTTTTTTTTTGTGGTATGCGGGCCTCTCACTGTTGTGGCCTCTCCCGTTGTGGAGCACAGGCTCCGGACGCGCAGGCTCAGCGGCCGTGGCTCATGGGCCCAGCCGCTCCGCGGCATGTGGGACCTTCCCAGACCGGGGCACGAACCCGCATCCCCTGCATCGGCAGGCGGACTCTCAACCACTGCGCCACCAGGGAAGCCCAAGAACTACCTCTTAGCTTCATTAATCTACCTTTTTAGTCTCTATTTCACTTATCTCTGCTCTGATCTTTATTATTTCTTTGCTTCTACTAACTTTAGGTTTTGTTTTTTCTTTTTTTTAGTTACTTTAGGTGTAAGATTAGGTTGTTTATTTGAGATTTTTCTTGTCTCCTGAGGTAAGCTTGTATCAGTAAAAAACTTCCCTCATAGTACTGCTTTTGCTTTGTCTCATGGATTTTGGTTCATTGCATTTTGCTTTCATTTGCCTACAGGTATTTTTTAAATTTCCTAATTTATTTCTTCAGTGATCCATTGGTTGTTTAGCAGTATATTGTTTAGCCTTGACATATTTCTGTTTTCTGTACTTTTTTTCTTGTAGTTCATTCCTAGTCTCATAGCATTCTAGTCAGAAAAGATGTTGGATATGATTTCAATTTTCTTAAATTTACTGAGACTTGTTTGGTGGCCTACCATGTGATCTACCCTGGAGATGTAACAGGGCACCTGAAACAATGTGTATTCTGTTGCTTTGATGTGGAATGTTCTATATTTACTTCTATTAATTCCATCTGGTCTGATGTGTCACTTAACACCAGTCTTTCCTTAATGATTTTCTGTCTGGATGGTCCGTCCATTGATGTAAGTGAGGTGTTAAAGTCTCCTGATATTATTGTGTCACTGTCCATTTTTCCCCTTATGTCTGTTAATATTTGCTTTATGTATTTAGGTGTTCCTATGTTAAATGCATATATATTTATAAATGTTGCATCTTCTTGGATTGATCCCTTAATCATTATATAATGTCCTTTGTCTTACAGTCTTTGTTTTGAAGTCTCTTTTGTCTGACATAACTATTGCTACCTCAGCTGTCTTTTGATTTCCATTTGCACGGAATACCTTTTCTGATTCCCTCACTTTCAGTCTGCATGTGTCTTTAGATCTGAAGTAAGTCTCTTGTAGGCAGTATATATATATGGGTCTTGTTGTTTTATCCATTCAGCCATTCTGTTTCTTTTGATTGCAGCATTTAGTACAATTATATTTAAAGTAATTATTGGTAGGTATGTACTTACTGCCATTTTGTTAAGCGCAGGATACAAAATCAATATACAGAAATCTGCTGCATTTCTTTACACTAACACTGAATTAACAAAAGAGAAATTAAGAAAACAATCCCATTTAGAATTACATCAAAAAGAATAAAATATCTAGGAACAAATCTAACTAAGGAGGTAAAAGACATGTATTTGGAAAACCATAAGACACTGATGAAAGAAACTGAAGATGACACAGATGGAAAGATATACAGTGTTCATAGACTGGCAGAATTAACATTGCTAAAATGGCCATAGTACCCAAGGCAATCTATACATTCAATGCAATTCCTATCAAAATATTAATGGCATTTTTCACAGAGCTGTAACAAATAATTTTAACATTTGTATGGAAACATAAAAGAGTCCAAATAGCCAAAGCAATCTGAAGAAAGAAGGACAGAGCCGGAGGTACCATACTCCTTGATTTCAAACTATAGTACAAAGAGACAGTCATCAAAACAGTATGATACAGGCACAAAAACAGCACATAGATCAATGGAACAGAGAGTCCAGAAATAAACCCACGCACTTATGGTCAATTAATCTTCAACAAAGGAGGCAAGGATATACAATGGGGAAAAGACCATCTCTTTAATAAGTAGTGCTGGAAATCTGGACAGCTACATTAAAAGAATAAAACTGAAACATTTTCTGAAACCATATATTAAAATAAATTAAAAATGGATTAAAGACATAAATATAAGACCAGAAAACATAAAACTTCTAGAAAAAAACATAGGCAGAACACTCTGACATGAACTGCAACATTTTTTGGATCTTAAGGCAAAGGAAACAAAAATAAACAGATGGGACCTAATTAAACTTAAAAGCTTTTGTGCAGCACGTGAAACCACTGACCAAAGCAAAAAACAATTTACTGAATGTGAGAAAATGTTTGCAAATAATTGCCTGATAAGGAGTTAATATCCAAAATATATAAACATCTCATACAACTCAATATCCAAAAAACAAATAACCTGATTTAAAAATGGGCAGGAGACCTGAATACACATTTTTCCAAAGAAAACATACAGATGGCCAATAGGCACATGAAAAGATGCTAACAACACTAATCATTAGGGAAATGCCGATCAAAACCACAATGAGATATCAACTCACACGTATCAGAATCGCTATCATCAAAAAGATCACAAATAACAAATGTTGGCAAGTAAGTGGAGAAAAGAGAACCCTTGTATACTGTTTCCCACTATGGAAAACAGTATGGAGGTTCCTCAAAAAAAATACCTAAAAATCAAGCTACCATATGATTCAGAAATTCCACTCCTGAATATATATCCAAAGAAAACAAAAACATTAATTCAAAAATACACATGCACCCCAATGTTCATAGCAGCATTATTTACAATTGCCAAGATGTGGAAGCAACATAAGTGTCCATCAACAGATGAATGGATAAAGAAGACGTGGTATACATATACCATAGAATATTACTCGGCCATAAAAAAGAATAAAATTTTTCCATTTGCAACTACACAGATGGACCTAGAGGGTATTATGCTTAGTGAAATAAGTCAGACAGACAAAGACAAGTACTCTATGTTATCACTTATATGTGGAATATAAAAAATAAAACAAATGAATGAATATGGCAAAGCAGAAACAGATTCCCAGATATAGAGGTCAAACTACTGGTTACCAGTGGGGAAAGGGAAGAAGGGGAAGATGGGGTAGGGAATTAAGAGGTACAAACTACTATATATAAAATAAATAAGCTCCAAAAATACATTGTACAGCACAGGGAAATATAGCCCTTTTATAAATAACAACTTTAAATGAAGTACACTCTATAAAAATATTTAATCACTATGTTGTATGCCTAAAATTAATATAATATTTTAAATCATTGATACTCAATAAAAGAAAAAGATACATGCACCCATATGTTCACTGCAGCATTATTTACAATAACTAAGATATGGAAGCAAACTAAGTGCCTATCAATAGATAAATGCATAAAGAAGATGTGGTACATATATACAATGGAATATTACTCAGCCATAAAAAAGAATGAAGTTTTACCATTGTAAAAACACGGATGGACCTAGAGGGTATTATGTTAGGTGAAATAAGTCAGACAGAGAAAGACAAATACCTTATGATTTCACTTTTATGTGGAATCTAAAAATATAACAAATGAACAAACATAGCAAGACAGAAACAGAGTTATACACACAAAGAACAAACAGGTGGTTTCCAGAGGGAAGGGGTTTGGGGGGAGGCAAGAACTAGGTGAGGGAGATTTAAGAGGTACAAAATTCTAGTTGCAAAATAAATGAGTCATGAGTATAGTATGTACAGTGTGGAGAACATAATCAATAACTATGTAATATCTTTATATGGTGACATATCATAACTAGACTTATCAAGATGATCATTTTGAAATGTACAGAATATTGATTCACTATGTTGTGTAATAGGAATTAACAGTGTTGTAGGTCCATTTAAAAAATGAAAAAAAATCTCTATCTGAATTGTACCAATGCTTGTGTACATTTGCAAACATTCATCCACCTGTATACTTATATTTGTTGTATTCTATTGTATGCAGATGATGCCTCCAAGAAAATTGATTTAAAAATAGATGAAGAGTAAAAAGGGAGGACTTGTTCTGCCAAATGGTGAAACATAATATAAAGGCACAGTATTAAAACAATGTGATATGAGTACAAGTTTGTTCTGACCCATGTATGTATCCAATCCTAATATCATTTCTATCTTATGATCATGAACATTTATGATATTTGCAGTACTGCAGCAAAAACTGAACTGTCTAGAAGCATTATACCATGGACTTTTTGCATTCATTATATTTTCTCTAGGGCTTCTCTATCAAGTGAGCAATCAAAATCACCCAATGTTCAGACTGTAACTTTAACAGTCTTCCCTCCCCATACTGCTGATTCCATTGTGAGGCAATACCCTAAAGGATACTTGATGGTCTGCTCCCACATTAATCTTCAATAAGACACTTATCAAATGTCCAAAGGTTAAGCACAGGTTTGAAAGATTTTACATATTTAGTCTGGAACCAAAAGCTCATTGTAGACTTCCCTTTTTTCCTGTCAGCAATAATTTTGGGGGAATATTCTTATATTTGTCCAAAACTCTTCAACCTATTAAATCCAGATGGTATATTCTTGTATGTACCTTGATTTCATTACTGCCAATATTTTGCACAGTACTCAGTCATATTTGAGATATATAACATATATGACAAAGAGCTGAACTAAAACAATCAATTTATCAATTTTCCAATTATCAGACTTACTTCCTCAGTACCACAGTCACAGATTTCATTTCCCTCCACTCTGCCGTTTCCACAGATTGCTGCCGGAGCCCTCTGCATTTGTGGCTTATTCTGAAGACACTGGACACCCATATTTGAAATGAAATTTTCAAAGTCACTCAAACTGCAACTGCTAAAAGTCTTCACACCACTGGATTGCCTAAAGATGAATCCGTATAATGTCATGGCAGTATACTTCTGAAAACACAATTCTATATTGTATAAGTTAATTTCAAAATGTTAAATTCAAGAGGTAATGATAAATGTTCATAACAAGTGCTCAGAGGCCAAAGTCATTCCACAGGAGGTCATGTGATTTCATTCACTGGAATACATATCTTCTTAAAACAAAATTAAGTTCAATAGGCAAAACTAAACAGCCCAACTAGAAAATGAGCAAAGGATTTGGATAGACATTTCCCCAAAGAAGACTCATATAAATAACCAACAGGCATGTTAAAAGGTTATCAATATAACTAATCATCAGGGAAATGCAAAAAAAAAAAAAAAAAAAAAAAGACCTCACACCTGTTAAGATGGTTATGATTCTTTAAAAAATAGATAAACAGTGCTGTTGAGGACATGGAGAAATTGGAACCCTAGTATATTGTTAATGGAAATGTAAATTGGTCCAGGCTTTTTTGAAAACAGGTGTGAGGTTCCTCAAAAAAGTAAAACTAGAACTACCATATGATCCAGCAATCCTACTTCTGGGTATATATCTAAAACTACTGAAACCAGGATATATAAGTTATATCTGCACTCTCATGTTTATTGCAGCAATATTCACAAGAGCAAAGATATGGAGTCAACCTAAATGTCCACTGAAAGATGAATGGATAAAGAAAATGTGGTACATATCTGCAATGGAATATTATTCAGCCTTAAAAAAAAAAGAAGCAAGTCCTGCCATATGCAACAACACAAAAACCTCGAGGACATTATGCTAAGTGAAATAAGCTAGTCACAGAAAGTGAAATAATTCATGCTTTCACTTATATGAGATATTTAAAACAGTCAAACCCACAGATGCAGAGCTCACAAGGGGCTAGGAGGAGGGGCAAATGGGGAGTTGTAAAATGGGTATAAAGTTTCAGTTATACAAGGTGAATAAATTATAGAGATCTGCTGTTCAACATAGTGCCTGTAGTTAAGTAATAAATTTTAAATTGGTTAAGAGAATTCCTGTTGAGTATTTCAACTACAATAAAAAAAATTAAGAACAGGTTAGAGAATGACCAAGATGTTGGAGTAGGAAGACTCTAAGCTCACCTCCTCCCATGGGCACATCAAATTTACAACTATTTACAGAGCAATTATTGATGAGAAAGACTAGAAAAGTAGCAGAAAATATCTTCTACAACTAAAGATATGAAGAAGGAACCACAAGTAGATGGGTGGGAAGGGTGGAGATGTGGTAATGGCAAGACCCATACCCCTGTGTGGGTGACCCACCAGTGAGCCAGTTCTAGCCTCCCTGAGACCAGCCTCCCCCACCAGCCAGCTCAACAGTCAAACAACCTCTCCCACCAGGGGATACCACCAGCCCTGGTATCCCCTGGATTCTAGCCCCACCAACCAGTGGGCAGACACCAGCCCCACCAGGACCATCAGAGCCCTGCAGCCTGCCATGTCAGGACCCAGCTGACCCACCAGCAGGCCAACACCAGCCCCAGCACCCTCTGAGCTACACGAGTAGATTACCAGCTCTGGGACACCTCGGACCCCTTCATCAGCCAACCTGGGATCCATCCCTGCTTACTAGCAGGCTGTCAACAGCTTTGGATACACTGGACCATGCAGTAAGCCATGTCAGGAACTGGTCCCACCCACCAGCAGACTGATACTAGATCCAGGACCCCTGGGCCCATAGCCACTCACCCTAATCCCAGATCCACCCACCACTGGGCCAGCACTAGCCCCAGGACCCCATGGGTTTCCACAGTCAGCCACCTTGTGACATAGCTCTACCCACCAGTGGCCAGCAGCCTCCGAATAAGGCATGGACTGGCAACCAAATGGACAGGGGGCCAGTCCAGCCAAGTCTACCAGACCACCCACAGTAGTCAGCCTGTCACAACAGAAGGACCCTCACAGTCCTCTTAGGGGGACCACTAGAGCATATAGCTCTGGGACCAGAGAGGAATGTGCTGCTGTGACGCATAGGACATCTACAAAAGGTCATTTCTCCAAGTTCGGGAAACAACCAAATACCAGATACACAGAAATAAAAACAGCAAATTAGGCAACATGAGGCAACAGAGGAATACGTTCCAAATGAAAGAAAAAGATAAAACCCCAAAAGAAGAACTGAGTGAAGTGGAGACATGCAATCTACTTGATACAGAGTTCAAGGTAACAATCATAAAGATGCTCAAAAAATTCAGAAGAATGGATGAACAGAGTGAGACATGAACAAAGAGTTAGAAAATTCAAAGAAGAAACAAAGAGAGATAAAGAGTACAATACTTGAAACAAGAAATCTACCACAATGAATTAACAATAGGTTAGATGATACAGAGGAACAAATCAGTGAGCTAGAATAGAGTAGTGAAAAATCACTGAAGCTGAACAGGAAAAAGAAACATGTATAAAAAGAAATGAGGACAGCTTAAGAGACCTCTGGGACGATATCAAACATATTAACAGTCACATTATAGTAGTCCCAGAAGGAGAAGATAGAGAGAAAATGGGGCAGAGAACATACTGTATTTGAAGACATAATAGCTGAAGACTTCCCTAACGTGGGAAAGGAAACAGACATCTAGGTACAGGAGTTACAGAGAGTCCCAAAGAGGATCAACCCAAAGAGGAACACACCAAGACACACTGTAGTGAAAATGACAAAAATTAAAGATAAAGACAGAATATTAAAAGCAGCAAGGAAAAAGCAACAAGTTACATACAAGTGAACTCCCGTAAGGCTATCATCTGACTTTATAGCAGAAACTCTGCATGCCAGAAGAGAGTGGCACTGTATATTTAAAGTGAAGAAAGGAAGAAAAACTACAACCAAGAATAGTCTAGCTGGCAAGGCCTTCATTCAGATTTGACGGCAAGATCAAAAGTTTTACAGACAAGCAAATGCTAATAAAAGAGTACCACCAAACCAGCTTTACAAGAAATGTTAAAGGAACTTCTCTATGTGAAAAAGAAAAGGCCAAAACTAGAAACATGAAATTTACAAAAGAAAAAATCTTATAGGAAAATGCAACTATACAATAAAGGTAATAAATCAACAGCTTATAAATCTAGTAGGAAGATTAAAAGACAAAAGTAGTAAAATCAGGGCTTCCCTGGTGGTGCAGTGGTTGAGAGTCCACATGCCAATGCAGGAGATGCGCGGGTTTGTGCCCCAGTCCAGGAAGATCCCACATGCCGCAGAGCGGCTGGGCCCGTGAGCCATGGCCACTGAGCCTGTGCGTCCGGAGCCTGTGCTCCACATGGGAGAGGCCACAGCAGTGAGAGGCCCGCGTACCGCGAAAAAATTTAAAAAGTAGTAAAATCATCTACATCTACAATAAGTAGTTAAGGGATACACAAACAAAAAGGTGATGTCAAAAACAGTAAACATTGGGGGTGGGAAGTAAAAATGCAGGGTTGTTAAAACGTGTTTGAACTTAAGAGATCAGCAACTTAAAAACAAGCATATATATATATTGCTATACACAAACCTCATGGTAATGACAAACCAAAAATCCATAGTAGATATACACACAAAAAAGAGAAAGGCATCCAAACATAACACCAAATGCAGGCATCAAATCATAAGAAAAGAGAAAAAAGGACCTCAACAAAAAAGAACTACAAAAACAACTCCGAAACAATTAACAAAATGGGAATAAGTACATACATATCAATGATTAATTTAAATGTAAATGGACTAAATGCTCCAATCAAAGGCACAGAGTGGCTGAATGGATACAAAAACAACACCCATACATATGCTTCCTACAAGAGACTCACTTCAGATCTAAACATATGACAAACCCACAGCTAATATCATACTCAAATGTGAAAAGCTGAAAGCATTTCCTCGAAGACAAGGATTTCCACTCTCACCAATTTTACTCAACATAGTATTGGAAGTCCTAGCCACAGCAATCAGACTAGAAAAAGAAATAAAAGGAATCCAAATTGGAAACAAAGAAAGAAAACTGTCACTCTTTGCAGATGACATGATACTATATATAGAAAATCCTAAAGACACCACCAAAAAACTACTAGAACTGATCAATGAATTCAGTAAATGTGCAGGATACAAAACTAACATACAGAAATGTGATATATTTCTATACATTAACAACAAAATATCAGAAAGAGAAATTAAGAAAACAATCCCATTAACAATTGCTGTTAAAATGATCATACTACCCAAGGAAATCTATAGATTCAATGCAATTTCTATCAAAATATTAATGGCATTTTTCACAGAGCTAGAAAAAATAATTATAAAATTTGTATGGAAGCACAACAGACTCCAAATAGCCAAAGAAATCTTGAAAAAGAACAGAGTTGGAGGTATCACACTCCCTGATTTCAAACTATGGTACAAAGTGCCAGTCATCAAACAAGTATGGTACTGGCACAAAAACAGACACATGGATAAGTGGAACAGAACAGAAAGCCCAGAAATAAACTCATGCACTTATGGTCAATTAATCTATGACAAAGAAGGCAAGAATATAAAATGGAGAAAAGACGGCCTGTTCAATAAATTGTGCTTGGAAAACTGGACAGCTACATGCAAAAGAAACAAACTAGACTACTCTCTCACACTATGTAGAAAAATAAATTCAAAACAGATTAAAGACTTAAATGTAAGACCTTAAACCATAAAACTTCTAGAAGTAAACAGGCAGTAAGCTCTTTAGACATTGATCTTAGTAATATTTTTTTGTATCTGGCTCTTCAGGCAAGGGAAACAAAAGCAAAAGAAAATAAATGGGACTACATCAAATTGAAAAGCTTTTGTACAGTGAAGGAAACTATCAACAAAATGAAATGGTGGCATATTGAATGGGAGAAGATACTTGCAAATGACATACCTAATAACAGGTTGATATTTAAAATATATGAGGAGGGCTTCCCTTGTGGCACAGTGGTTGAGAATCTGCCTGCCGATGCAGGGGACACGGGTATACAAGGAACTCATACAAT